TACATATATATATATATATAAATAACTATATATATATATATATATATATATATACGCAAATAATAAAAAAATCGATTAAAATCGTTTAAAAATTATTTCTATATAAATAAAAGAATATTTTAAAAATTATATTAAGTTTAAAGTCTCGTTAATAACAATTTAAGAACGGATGAAACGGCGGTTTGATCAAGATGGAGGACATCAATACTTAAGGTACCCTCCTCCCCTAATTATGTCATCAAGCCAGGAGTTTGAACCACCAAGGATTATTTCCAGACAATTGAAGAGAGAAATAAACGGGTGCAATCTTACGTCATCAAAGGCTCGCCCTCCTTCCCGCCATCGTCAAACACAAACGAACCGCTGACGTAATAAAATGAATGAGCCCTTAGAGAAATAATAATAAAAAAAGAAATTATACAGTTGTACCTAGACAAGAGAATACGAGATGTAGAAACAGCCATTGGTTTATCTGGGTTAGTGTTCTAAATAGGATGGGATCGGTAATTTAGAAATGTTTCTCTTATTAGTTCCGTCATGTATATAATACCAGACAACATAAAATACAATAGATAAAGACTGACGACTTATTGATATCGTCCTTTCTAACAGAACGACAGACGAGGAAAAAAGATTCCCGAATAAAATATGATGAATTAAAAGTCACTTCCTGAAACAAGGAAACATAAAAATAAAAATAAAAAAATGGACGTAACTCGTTAGCAGCGGATATTTTTGAATATAGGAAAAATCATTTGCATTATAGATGATTAAAATATGAATTTTTAATTAAGGATAACGTCTCCTTAATGAGATCTTATTGAAGAGTTTTACTGACAATTTATTCTTCCTTCTTTTTTATTTATATACAGTTACACCCCATATAGCGCAACCGTAAAATGGTTTTTCTTCCTGAATATTAAATAGAGAATGCTTCGTTTTCTGTGAGTTATTAGAAAGATTGCGGCCGAAGTTTTCATTTCTCAAACGTGAACTTCGAACGTCGAGCGCCGTTATCTTGTAAACGGCGCTCGACGTTCGGAGTTCACGTTTGAGAAATGAAAACTTCGGCCGCAACCTCTCCATTAAATGCGTGATTTTGCATTGCAGAAAACATTGTAAACAGAAAACCACGCGACTTTCGAACCCCCTCTCGAACTTCAAACTTGTGTGCATACCGTGGCGCTAAACCGAGGTTTTAATGTATATATGTATAAGAGACTAGAACAAAGGGAGGCCCTAAAATTTAATATTTTGTGTGAAAAAAATAGGATCGTATAGTTATAAATGCCTCATTTTACCT